AACTAGCCTGATACACCCCACTTAAAATAGATGTCCACAAATTCTCTCCCTTTTACATGCTTTAAGTAATCGGACAGCTAGAATGATATTTCAACTGCGATCGGTCACAAACTTTCCAGGAACTACAACCGTACCACTTTCCACGGATGTCAGTGACAATTTATACCATTTCCTTGAACCATGAAAACCATGGAAATCTGAATAGCACATTTGCTGGTGTAACTTACGCGCTTTGGAAGTGGCACGTTTGACATTGTATAACTGGAGGCGGAGGGAAGATGGGAATGCTAAAAAATAGATGAAAACAAAGGCATGGGGAAGGAGTATAAGGAAAATTATACGGTTTAAAGCAGCTTACTGTCAGTGCTAAATTAAAAATATCAGTGACTGCAGTTATACTACTGTCAGTAGTTGTATTTGTAATGGTGAAAAACAGTACATACCATCGGAGACGTCATCAAAATCGTCGTGTTGGAATGAAAGGGAATCGGCGATTGCTTGACACGAATGAAAATGGAGTCTACATAAAAGAGAAAAGTAGGAAGAACGAGTTTTATATTAGGCTACGTGATAAGTAAAATTAATACACGATGACAACTGCAGTAATACTTCAGCACAAACTAAGTACAATATGCGCAACACAATAACGTTCCGTAATTTGTGACTGGGTAGCCGCATCTACCTTACTACCCACAAAGCTCGTGACATTTGCACTTGCACGCACCAGTGCGATCGAATGAAGCAATAAACCACGTGCATTCATCGTCTAAACAATATTTCCATGAGATCTGAGTGCGGAGTCTGATGCAACTCATTGGTGGATATGAAGTCGCGAAGTNATAGGATGTTGAGCGCGCTGAGTACTCGATGAGAAAGGTGTACCCTCCGTGATATATGCAATGGAACCTGCCGTATGATTGGAGTAAACGATACATTTTTCAATACTGCTCACAAACAGGTTAAAACGGTGAATAAGCCGAGTTTTAATGGATCTGACCGCTAAGTTTCGGAACGGTTTGGCAAAATGGTTACTCCGGAAATGACCGTTTTGAACCTTGGAAAGACCAAATATTTATTTATTTTTTTAAAATTTTATTTGTCAAACCAGAGCGGAAAGAATAGCCAGTTTCGTCTGTCCAAGGGTTCGTTGTTATCGATGAAGTCGTCTATCTTGTAATAATAATCAACATATCTAGATTCATGCATGACTCACAGTCATATAGTGCGATTTGAGTGGAGAATATTCAATAAAATATTTAGAAATTGAAAAACCTAAACCAGTATTGATTAATTCGTTTGTTATACCAGTTTGCGGAATATTCCGATCTTCATTGCCCGAGCAGAGTTGTAGATACACGTGAACTGAGCATAGGCGTGATTATCAAACAAGTTTACTTCACGGCCGAGCAAACTACAGCCACGTATCGACGAGGAGAGGGAGAGACGGTCACTTCAACCGCACCGGATCTTACCGGAACAAGCGTAATCGTTGAGCAGGATAGGGTCGACAATGATATGCAAGAATAGCAATATCACCGACCAGATAGAGACCGTGATCACCAGTTGGAGAGTCCGGGGGTGCATGAAATGAAAGCATAATTCCATTTACAGATGGTTTGGAAAAAGTACTGGAAAAGAGAAGGGAGGAACATACAACGGGTCAATTTTAGTGGTAGGAAAAATCATCACAATACAACGTTTTTGAACAATTTTATATATGTGATTCCCCTGCCTAATTTATATTTATCCACTATAAATGCATCTGGATAATAATAAATAAGATCATTGAGACAAGAACAAATCATATCAACATTCCAGGAGTGTCCTTGAGTCTGCAATATCGCTTTCTTCAATGAATTGATAACCAACTGCATTGCACTAATGTCAGATCACAGTTTGCAATCACGGTTGTTTCAAAATTCACAACGAATGGTAGCATGAGCAAGTGCAATTATAAACAACAATATTGATCACTATGAGTTTCAGAGCTTTATGATGTACTAGGGGAAGACGTCTCCCCCTCCCCTCCAAACGACATACACTTCCAAGTATGAGATCGTGTACAATTAGAAAAAGCTCCATTTCAGTTTGTGGAACAGGAATTGGTTGTACAAGAAAATAGAGAAAGAAAGACGATAATACATGTATGAATAATGACGAGCACTGATTTGGAACTCACTGAATAGACGTAGTATACACAAGACGAAGTGGGCAACCGGAGTAAAATTTAAAAAATAATCGCAGTTTGTTCTCTTCAAAAACGGGGAAATTGTACAGGGTTAAGTGATAAATGCACACAGATGAACGTAGGATGGATAGACAATTTTCCGGGGAGAACAGCCTCATGTAGCCGGCGTATCTGTGGTTCGGTTAAAAGTACACAAATTGGAAAGGGGTGGGGTAAGGGTGGGACGGAGGGAGATAGAGAAGGAGGGAAAACGTGATCATGTAAGGTCACCGTATACAGATATAAAATGCATATCGCAAAGTTAGATTATTAGCGCGTTTCAAAGATTTGGATGATGGATAAATTTTTGTATTATAAGTTTATATATATATATATATATATATATATTCATGTATGGAGCAAGCGAAGAATGAATTAAAAATGTGGGAATCACCGGACAGCTATTTCCGAATGGTTGGGTCTTATCAACATGGAGGTTCTGTCTACCCAATTGGGTTCGAATCCGGGACCTCGCAGATAGAACGGAAGCATACGACTGACTTTGCCATCAAGTAGCTGCTCAATCTGTTTTTCCTTTTGTCTTTCTACAATATATTACGAGCCATCTGTTCATGCCTGCACACGACAAAATCCACTTGCCCCGATTGATAAAGTATAACGAGCACTTAACTCACCATTCACCACTTAGGTTTCTAAGGTTGAATAGCAGAAGGGACCAATCCCATAATCACCAGCGTCTATGTTTCGGTTATGGGAACTGGTAACTTAGATCTTGGGACATGAAAAGGTAAGCCAAATTGGGATGGGGTGGTTCAGGTAGGATAAAGAATGATTAAAGCCCGACCATAGGGAAAACGCTCGCCACCAAAGTGGGTTTACGTTGGAGTAGTGTGAGCATAGGACCACCGGACCCGACAAATATCAGCGATTGCGGTTTACATGGTTTGAGAACACTTTTCCAATAGTCAGGAAGCTGAGAACTTGCGTTGGCAGAATGGTGAAATTGCCGGATTCCTGATACTTGTGGTTCGCTTTCGTCTGGGGAATCGTAACTTTATGTTTATTCAAAGTATCTTTGATTTTCGAGGTATTGCAAAGAACTGGAACAGAGTGAAAACAAAACATCACACTTACCTGGGTCTGATTGGCCACTATCCTCAAATATTAACCGCGCCAGAAAAAAATACTTCCAAAGTTTCCATAGGGCAAAGTGAAAAAGTGCTACTTTTGGCGGCAATTTTCAATACGAGAGATTTACCATAGTGAAAATAAATCGATTTTAATCGTTCATCGAGTACATGTTTCCTCACTCCCTTCAAGCGGTTGAGATAAAAGATTTATTGTTATCGGGACTAAGAATTTCGGGTGATGAGCTTGAAAAATACAGGACGCTTATCGATCGCTAGTCCCCGTCGTCCCGTGGTCAACTCGATTGCCCTTGACCAAACTGTGGGCTTTGACTGACTACAATACAACCCTTGAGAAAACGTGAGAGGATTTGGTTTTGTTGTGGAACTCTCCTTTTAAATCTTACTGAACAGTCGCGAACATGGAGGTTCACAATTAGGTCAAGATTTGACGATCGCAAATATTTCAAAGTAATGTTCTCATCTGTGTGTGATGCGTATGTGATGTAAAATGAGGAATACCTCCGTCCAAAACGGTCACGTTATTGTCTCTAACTACCACGACTGGTATTGGCATAAGTTCAGTCTGATGTCGAAAATCATTGGACCAGAAATTGAGTTCCACAGTTGGTCTCATGTGTGCTGAAAAATTGTCAAAGTCATGGACAAACATCGTGTATTAATCACTCAGAACGTGTCTGGTCATGTATTCAGCTGTTAAGAAGGACCATTTGTTTATCCTCCCTTGTCCAACCGAATGTTCACAGATTAATTTTGACAGGTGATGAATGATCAGTGTTCGACCTTTGGACAATGGGTATTGATTTTGGCTGCCATTCATCATACCCTGTCCACACCTTCGATCCTTAGTTTATTTAGTCAGCCATACAATCGGGAATAACTGGAATTCTGATTAGAGATAAGGAGCAGTGGGTTATCAGTAGTAAGTGACTGAACTGAGGATTTCGCATGAAAACGAAGAATGAATAATCCACACGTATTGCGAACATACCTTAGCCAAGCAATTGGAGAGCGGACAACCCCGTTCGGGTAGGCTTTCACATATTGTTGCAGGTTACTGCTTGTCGTGGGATCTCGTCTGAAAATGGCGACGGGTTGCAGAAGAATGATGAGTTTGGTTGGATTGAATGGATGCATAATGAGTATTGCGCTTCGGGAAAATCTAGTGCTTACGGAACGTTGCAGTTCACTTGGTGATGTAATATAGTGCAATTGTGCATTGGAACAAAACCGCATCGCTCCTACATTCCTGTAAAAACTGAAGTATATTGCGTCCTGAGGATAAATGTTACGGGAGTGCCTCCCCTAACTTACTTCACCTGACAGCAAATCATTTTGCCTACCAACACCGATCAATGTAAACATTTGATTTAGGTACCAACATAAGGATCAGGGAAACAATTCTGTCTTTCATTTTGTGCATAACTCCTTGTTTGATGCCCCTCTTCCTGAGGGATCCGACGGAACTATGAGACATCCTTAAAGTGTTTAAATTATGTGCTCTAATACTTGCACAAGTGATGCCGGTTTAAGGGTAGAAACGTACGAATTCACAAAGCTGGCAATCACATGTGTGACGTGCTATTCAATCGTGTCTAGTTCGGTGGCATACACCAAAGATATCACACTTTAGATGTACCGTATACCATTCGATCGCCTGACCCAGAATGTGCGAATCGAGATAGGGGATATTTTCAAAAACGTTATGACGAACCGTGGAGTGAAATAAAGTAGAAACATCCTGCTCGATGATATCATTTGTATTGTATTCTTGAATTAAGGAAAAATTACGCGACACCAGTTCTGAGCCACTTTCTGATGACCCAAATAAAAATGTGTAATCTCAATCAAGTAATTTTTTGCAGCTGTAGAAAAAGCCTCATTTCATTGTAACTTAAAATCCGCATAGAAAATGAAGGCACACTTCTAGTGACAAACAAAGTATCTTACGCTAATGAATGGTGAAATTCCGACAGATAGTCGCAGAACATTCTCCCGTTCATTTAATGGAACCACTTGATACTTCGAAGCTCATCTCATCGACGTCTTAAGATGAAACGAGCTGCAGCTATAATTGTGTGTATTTAAAAAGATCAGATCGATCAGCCAACATACAGAATGCATATTAAACTGGTATTATTTGTTACCTAAAAGTTATTCCTTTGTCCTCGTATTTCATTAGTATTTCTCATGCTCGTTTATGGATAAACAACGAGCATGACCCACGTGACATCACAATGCTTGAGAGGTTCAAAATGTTGATGTTCATTCACACTAAAATATTATTCAGTAGTTGTATACAGACAAAAATAAAATAAGCTAGAATGAGCTTGTGAAAAATGTTAAACCCATTTCCCCAAGAAAGAATTCATGTGACGGCGGTAAGGTCTGTTGGACTGCCAAATACTATTGACATTTGTGTTCTGAGTAGACGATGCATCCGTGTTACTTGTGAAGAACATTATGGGGTTTTCTAGTTTGGAGCGATAGAACAAGGTTTTAGCCCAGAATAATTAATCGAAGTTTAAGAGTTGGAAGAATGAAGGGATAAAGATAAAAGCATGCAGTGGCTTTGTCGATATTACAAGCTCCCGGGATCTGGCTCTTTGTTTTGAGCGATTCGGTCTGATGATTGAAGTATTTAAGACTAATTTATCTTGGATTTGCATTACTTCGGTAATTTACTGCAGGCTTGTCTTCAAGAGAGCTGTTCCACATTCGTCCTAATCCTAATTCACAAAGATAAAATTCTAATCCTAATAAATAATAAATAGATGTCGTTTTACTTCCTTCTTTCTTTATTCAATATAAAAATGTACAAGCAACATTCAGGAAGGAGGGCCGCGGCCATACAAAGGGTGCCTGAGAAGACGTGCGGTGG